GGCCCCGCCCCTCGCCCTCGTGCCCCCGCGCCCTCCCACTCGCTCGCTCACCTGCGCGTGCGCGCCGCCGCCGCTCCCTCCGTACCTCTCTCAGCTGCGCGGGAGGGGGCGCGGGCTGGAGTCAACGTCCCTTCCCCGCCGGGAGCTGGCCCGGCCCGTGCTCTCGCGAGAAGAGCTGTAATCTCGGCGGGCCCGCGGGAGGGGAGTCAGGGTGCGGCGTTACAGCTGGTCGGACTCTGGGTCTTCTGCGTGGCGACCTCTGGGCCAGTTCGTAGCTTCTGCCCTTGGCGGTCTGAAGGGGTCCATTTTCAGGGTCTTTGCTTGGAACTGGCCCCTGGGCCAGGCGGAGAGGCCAGCCGTCATTACACTGTAATGCACTGGGTGCCCGTTAGTAATTGCTCAATAATAAGTGCATACCGGGAGTGCCTGCTGCCTCTCAAAGGCATCTTTCTTGTCTAACTTTGTTATCAAAGTGAGCCACTTTCCTCTAAATGGGCTGGAGATTTGCAGTGATTCCTAGAAAAGAGTGACCTTGAGTTACTGCCTCCACCAGGAACTTGAGGAAACAAATTTCCTCCAGACAATTGGACAGGGTGGAGTTCTGGCTGATCAGCCCTGTTCTGAATCTTAAGATGTAGAGACTTTTGAATATTTGGATAAAATACACAAAACATCGTGCAGACTGGGCATGATTGTGCACATCTGTAACCCCAACACTTTGAGAGGCTGAGGCAGGAGAGTCACAAATTGAGAGCCCAGCCTGGGCAATTTATTGACTTAGCGAGACCCTGTCTCAAAATAAAAATAAATAAAAGGGCTGGGATTGTAGCGTATTGTGAAGGCCCTAGGTTCAACCCCAAGCACGGTCCAAAAAAATCATATATATATATATATTTTTTTTTTTTTCAAAAATATCCTATTAAAGAACCAGTCATTACTTGGGGAACTTAGATGTTCACTAGCGATCAAATGCAAATTTCAAAGACAATGAGATATCATTTACCTATTGAGTTTTGGGTATAAATTCCTGTATATTTATGAGTCCCAAGTGCAAGATGTGATAGGTGCCATGCAGGAAACAAGAGGAAGCTGACATTCAAAAGAAATAAGACCAGCTTTAGATTTTGTGGTCAGGAAAGATGTAAAGTGAAATGTAAATAGAAATATTGGAAGAGTAGGAGCCAGCCATGCAGATTGAATATGGGCGTAAGTGTTGAGGCAATGTTCTCAGCAGAGGCACAACACAGACAAAAACAAGAAACAGCTTCTGGGGCCAGGCAATATCGAGCACGCCTGTCATCCCAGCACCCGGGAGGATGAGGCAGGAGGATCACTGCAAATTCGAGGCCAGCCTGGGCTCCGTAGTGAGCCCACTATGTACGGAGACCCTGTGTCAAAAGAAAAACAAAACAAAATAGCTTCTGGTGAATTGGAAGATAGTTGAGGGAGGGGCGGTTTGAGCCGGGACAGTAGCCACCTAATTACCCACAGTCAGGTTTGGTTTCATTCCGCTCTACTCAGCCTGGAAGCTAGTGATGATTGCATCTCCAAGCTTTGAGCGAATATCAGTGTGTCAGTCGCATCCAGTGCTTTGGGACATGCTAGGCCTGCCAAGCAAAGCGCAAGGGAAGAAAGGGGAACGTTACCAGGGATGGGGGAGGGGGCAGGCATGAATCAAATGGGCTAGGAAGAGCAGAGAGGGTTAAGTTCATGCAGTCACAACCAGACCTCAGCCAACAGAGTCAGGGCAGTGCAGAGGTCACAAAGGTGGCCCGAGTTTAAGAGGAGAAGTCGGGCAGGGTGGCACACACCTGAAATCTCAGCCCTGGGGAGGCTGAGGCAGGAAAATTACTGCGAGTTTGAGGCCCATATATAGTGAGTTCAAGCCCAACCTGAGCTACCTAGTGAGACCCTGTATCAAAAAACCAAGCAGCAACAACAAAAAGATTAAAAAGTAGAGAAATCCAGTGAGGATGGAAGGTGATCGATCCTAAGGATTTCCTTGGGGAAGATAGGATTACATTTTAAGGTCACACGTTAACATCAGCGCAAGATGGGTAAAGTCTGCTTATGGCAGGAATCTGTCCTTGCTTCTCTTTTCTTTAGTGGTGCTAAGGGTTGAACTCAGGGCCTCATGCTAGGCAAGCTCTTTACCACTGAGCTACCTCAGTCCCAAGACAAGAACTTTAACAGAGGGTGCGTAAAACAGCTACCAGGATGTCCACGAAACCCCCTCCAACGTCGTCCACGTGGTGCAGTAGGTACTGTATGGCATTCTTTCTGCAGATAATTATGGATAGCTTCTCTCAGATTCTCCAACCTGACCTTAAAAAAGGAGAATACAATAATTAGAGAAATACGATAATTACTATCCAAGATAGTAAGGGACCTGGGGATGGGGAAAGACAAGAGGGAGGAGGGGGAAGGGGGAATAAAAAGGTCGAGATGCATTATGTATGTCCTCATTAGCCATAATGGAAATATATATATATATATTAGACATATATATTTTTGAGATATAGATATATAGATTATTTTTTGAGACAAGGTTTCAGTATGTAGCTCAGGCTGCCTTGAACTCACTATATAGCCCAGGCTGGTCTCAACTGCATAATGATCCTCCTGTTTCTGCCTCCTGGGATTATAGGTATGTGCCACCATACCCAGCTGAATGTATTTAATATGTATTACAAACATATGGTAATTAAAAAGAAATCTGATCCAGAAAGAAATATTTACAATAAAAGGCTCAAATACTAATTTTAAAAAGTAATGAGCCGGTGATATGACTCAGCGGCACAGCACCTGCCTGGCAAGTGCAAGGTCCTGAGTTCAATTCCCGGTACCAACAAAAGAAAGAAAGAAAAAGAAAAAAGTAGTCAGGTGTGGTGGCACGTGCCTATAATCCCAGCACTCGGGAGGCACCCTCCCAAGGAAGATGCTTGCGAGTTCAAGGCCAGCCTGAACCACATAGTGAGACTCTGTCTCTATAGAAGAAAAGGAATGTGTCAGTCAGAAGGAGGAGGTAAAAAAAGAAAGCATTGAGAGGAGACCATGAGAGAGGAGGCTGAGGCAGTGCCCCAAGGCCTCCCAGGCCCAAGAAGTGACTCTCTGATAAATCGAAGAGGTCGGATGAGAACCTGCTGTGATCGCTCTTTTCATTCTCATAACTCAAGCCCCTCACTGTACAGCCACCAAACAGCCTTCTGCTAACGCAGACAGAGGCATGATTGGACCTGTGAAGACGCTGGTCTCGCAGTGACATTTCTGTCATTGTAAATTATGTAAGTTGCCCTCTGTCTTTCTACACCGGTACCTCTTGCCACTGTGTTCCACATGAGTCACCCGGACACTCTGGGCCTGGAACACGGTGAGACTGAATCTGTTACACGGTGAGTGAGGCCCTGATCAGGACCGTGAGGCGCCTTCCAGGTGGATGTCCTTCTGAGGGCTTTGCTTTGGCTGGCCTTGAACTCATCGCGTAGCCCAGACTGTCCTCAAATTCTTGGTGACCCTCCTGCCTCAGCCTCCTGAATGCTTGGATTACAGGCGTGCGAATCACGCCCAGCTGTGTGGCTCTTTTTAAACATCAGCCTGTTCTCTTCACAGTCCCTGCAATTTTAGGGGGCATGTACTGGAGAAATGGCCCATCTTTCCTACCGGAAAAATCTCCTGAGGAATTTTTAAGTGCTAGTCAACATGAGCTGTCTCCATTCTGGGTGCACATTCACAGAGCTCCACCTATTATCCACCCTACTCCCAATTCCTTTAAAATAAAGATGCATTTGTTTACGCCCCAGGACCATGGGCATTTGCCAGGAAGAGTAAAGAACGACTCCTAGGGAAATCGCTGGAAGAGGTGAGGAGTAACAGCACTAAATACACTTAGTAACTTATACTCAGTGAGCACTTACTGCCTGGTACCGTGCCAAGTTCTCGATCCTAATCCCCCACCAATCTCCACAACGCTCATTATAAAGCGTTCCTGCTTCACAGCCCTTCGTCACACAGGGGCTACAGCAAGGCTTTAATGCAGAGATCTGACTCAGAGCCCGTAGATTAACCAGCCCGCTTCACTGTGTGGAAACAAACAAGCAATCCAGGCACAGGGTTTTGTCTTGTTTTGTTTTTGTTTTGTTTTGTTTTTGTTCTCAGCACTGAAGACTGAACCCAGGGCCTTTGTGCTGAGCTACATTCCTCAGCCCTTTTTTTAAATTTTTTTTTTTTTTTATTTTGAGACTGGATCTTGCTAAGTCACTAGGTTGCCCAGGCTGGGGTTGAACTTGTAATCCTCCTGCCTCAGCCTCCCATAGTGCTGGGATTGCAAGTATGTACCATCATGCCTGCCTAAGAGACATTTTTAGATACAGAAAAATATGTCTGTTAGGGGACCAAAAACAAAAAACAAAAAAAACATTCAGGTTGAGGTTTTAACCCCCATTTCCTCAGAATGTGTCCTTATTTGGACATAGGGCTGGAGCAGATGTCATATTGAGACCATACTAGAGTAGATCGGGCCCCTATTCTAATATGAGTGTGGCACAGTGCAGAGTCCAGCATGGTACACAT